TAAAAAAAAAAAACATTTAAAAATCGTTCTGAATCGATTAACGAGGATTAGGCACTGATTCTATCTCTCAGCCACTTGTACTCGCCCCCGTGACACGCGTCGTTACAGTCGTCAGTCCGTCGGAAGCTCTCGAATGACGCCATCGTCGGATGTTTCTATTATCTAATTTGTTGTGAAAAACACTACTTATATATGAATAAATAGATATTTTTTCTTATGAATGAATTAGTTTTTTTTAATCAAAAAACTTTATTTATGCGAGTACTATTTATTGTTAGCAAGAAAAAATTTTGTGGCTCTTTAAAAACTTTGAAATTTTGTAAATTGTAATTTTGGCTCTTCCGACTCAAAAGGTTGCCGACCCCTGTTCTAGATAATGATCAATTTACAAAATGAATATATAAATATCTCAAAATCTGACATTATTAATTAATGCCAAACAATTGCCATAATGTAACAGGCAAAATAAGTTGTTTTTTTCATGTTAACTCACTTTACACAATTTCACTTTTAATTAGTTCTAAGAAAGTATTGCATAATTGTTTAATTTGTGAAATACTTATTATTAAATTCAAACAATATATAAATCAAAAGACAAAATTCTACCTGATTCCATTTACACAATCATTATGGGCTTGAAAGAATAGAATTGGATGTAAAATGGGTTCATTTTCACCAGATATATTTTCAGGTGGTTTATTTAAATCCCAAACAGTGATCACTCCATTTTCATTTCCACTTATCAAGTATTGGCCAGTGCTAGATTCAAAATGAAACTATAAACCTTAAGAGTATTTCAGTATTATATAGGTTTAAAGTATCCTTACCTGTCTATATCAAAATACATTCGTTGATTTGTTGTAACAATTCGTCGCATACTATAAAACACTTTTCCTGGATTTCTGATATCCCAACAAAGAATTTCACAATCCTGAAATGTTATTTTTAATATTAATAAAATACTATAATAAAAAATGAAATTGCTCATATTGCTAAGTACCATACCTTTCTTCCTCCACTGAATAATTTTATGCCATCCGATGAAAATATTAAATGAGTTACTCCACCCATTTGTCCAGATAAGAGAAAAAGCAAATCCAATTCTTGAGCAGAATATATACCAACTTTAAATTAATAAAAAGTTATTTATTACAAAGTAAAGGAAGAAAAACATTTTAAGTGTTCAATGTAAAGAAATTTATGATATAAATTAATTTTCAATTTCAATTACCCAACATTCTAGAATTCAGTAGTACAAAAATAGCATTTCCCCAAGGACTGCAACTCAATGGGGTATGGAATATTTCTCATTTTCAATAAAATGATTACTGTGAAAGTATTTGTTTCTATACTTTTATGTATTAGATTTTCAGATATTATTGTTTAAATGTAAGAAAAGAAAAATTATTGTGTTCCTATTAATATTGATACATACTTTTTCTTTTTGAGTTGGAGGATGTGAATAATTGTGCCTGTAAAGAGGGTATGAGTAAAATGGCTTATGTACAGTATACCTGCAATAACTAAAAATATGTATTGTGGATCAAAAAAGTCTGGAATACATAATATTTATATACAGGCAGATTGAAATTAATATGAATAACACATTCAATGAAAATATTGTATTGTTTTAACTTGACTTTATAGATTATATAAAGTCACATAATTGGTTGCAACTCATTGAAAATGCTCAATATTTTTTAAATATAATTTTTATGTAAATTATTAAAATATTATATTACATTATAGAAAAAAAGAAGAATTATTAAAAACAAAACAATACATAATAATTATCCATATTAAATGCTTATTTTTAGATAACCAACTATTTAAATTTTTCACATGAAGGAATGTTTTTGCCCTGTTTTAGGACAGCTTGTTTCTTAATGAATATAAGTCATAAATGCTCAAATTCAGTTTGAACAGTATCACTTTTGACAGATTGATGTTTGTTTAGTTATAGCAATGCAAAACTTAGGTGATCTGCCTAGGGGGTGCCTTCTGGAAGGTCTTTTTAAGGGAAACTGGCTCCTATTTAGGTGTTAGATGTGGAGGAAACTCCATGTGGCCAGCCTGTCCGAACGAGGCGAGCCCACGATCAAACTTCCAGTGTTCAGGGAACGAAGACCGCTTGGCCACTGGTGGGCTTTGACAGATTGAACAATATTTTGAACTATACATTTTCATTCTAATTTGTTAAAATCAAATTCCATATAGGCACAATATTATCATTGAATATCAGTACTTTTAGTTCATCTGAAAGCAATTTTGTTTGAATATTGTTCAATCCATCAAAAACAATATAAATAATACCAAAACAATATAAATGTTTGAATTCAGTTTGAACAATGACATTAAGAAGCTGAAGCTGTTCTAAAACAGGATGAAAACATTCCTTTGTGGGAAAAATTTAAACAGTTGGCTATCTGAAATTAAGCATTTAATACAGATACTATGGAGCCAGGAACACAAGGTAATATTTAATACATAAAACTGTTTTTTTAATGAGATTTTTTTACTCTTTAAATATAATTAAACCCAATTATCCAAGGGAAGGAGGACAATGCTACCTCAGATAACCAAAAAACTTGGATAAAATGGATGACCAAGGTCATTTTGGATTAAAAATTATACATACAAAAAATTTACATGGTAGCATTTTAAGCCATTTTTTATACTTTAATGAATTTAACCCTATATAAGAATAATAATTTTTACAACACTTATTATACAGCTGATAAATAAAATAGTTTTAAGAATGAAAATGTTTATTACGTAGTTACAGTTTAATATGAATGATTTATCTCACATTAAACTTAAGTGATTAAAAGTAACAAACAAATCATTTTGTAATTTAGGTTATCATTTAAACTTACTTTTATGAATTACAGTATAAGAAAAGTAGTGTATCCACTTACAGTTTCCTTGGATAATGCAGAACTTATTTAATTGGGGCTCAGATAATTGGGGGTTCTACTGTATGTACCTTGTATATAACTGAAAAATGACTACACATGCACAAGTGTAAATTTTTTTATATGCACAAAAAATTATTATTTTATATATATTAACAGTAGTGCTTGAAAGTATTTCTTTTTTCATCACACTTTCACCAGTAGCTGCTGAAAACTTGTACTAAATTGAATTTTATATTATAGTAACACCCCACTTAACGTGGGGATGTGTTCCTAGACAACAAAGCGCTAAACAAAACAGCATTAAACGAGGTTATTTTAACATGGAGTAAATAGGGAAAGAGGAACACATGATCAAAAATAAACAGATTTTACTTTAATTTTAAGTTATTTTTATATTAATTTGCACGAGATTAATTTTAAGTTATTTTTATATTAATTTGCATTATCATTTAAACTTTCTTTTATGAATTACAGTATAAGAATAAGTGGATACACTACTTTTAATGCTTTAATTGGGGCTCAGGCTCAGATAATTGGGGGTTCTACTGTATGTACATGGGTGCTTCAAAAAGTTCATGGAAAAAATCCGTAACTAAAAATTGTTTGGAAGGATTTTCATTATGTTAAATAACACAAACATATGCACACAGAAATGTAAAGTTCATTTTTTGTGATGAAGGTCCTGGCTTTTCTGAAATTCTTGTTTTTTGTGACAAAGTTTTTTGTCATGTAGTTTCATTTGTTGCTTTTTTTCTTTCCTTAAGCAAATGTAGGTAGCAGGAGATTGTATCCAAAATGCCTCATTTTGCTTTTGCACTCCTTTCAAAATCTGGATCATTCAGTACAGTTTGATCAATGATTTCGATTATCATTACCAAACTTTTACTAAAATAATCCGTAGAGAAATTCTTTAGGTTCTTTGTTTTCAGAATCTGTTTTCCAGTTCTACATGGATTCCTTGTTCTGTCAGTCCTTGAAGATTGTCATTGGTAAGGCTCTCACCAGAAACCTGCAGTAACTCCTCAATATCCTGCTCGTCTACATCTCCTAGTCCTGTTGTATCATTAGGTTGATCAAATTGTCAACCTAATTGATACAGCAATAGACTCTTCTTGTTGGAATTCTTGGATACCCCAGCCATAACTTCTTCCATACTCCATTCATGCATTCATCAGTTAATTCTTGCCAAGCGAAGTTGATATTGCATGTGGCATCCATGATGTTATATTTTTTCCAAAATTGCACCGAACAAACATAGATTTAAGGAAAGTACAGCGCTATGAAGAATTGTCATCTTTTGCTAAATGGTTTGGGAATAATTGTAATATATATGAATTGATCAACTGCCACATTAATTTGAAGCATAAATTTTGAGCACTTTTTAAGGCTTCAAGCAGACTGCATTATATAAAATCAGCGTTAATCGAGACAACATTACAGCGGGATCTTACTGTACTTGAACTCATTGATTGCGACCTACTTATGTTTTACAGGACTACTTAACATTGCAATAAGATTCACTTATTATGATCACTTTAGAACTTGCCTATATTGATAACAACTGACTAACAACATATAAACAAGATAAGTTAATAAGCCTACAATTAGTGGAAATTCTGGAATTTTTGGTTCTGACATTGAAAAATAGTTAAAACAAAAAAATGTGTAACTTAAAGATTTATTAATTAATTAAAAATAGTATTTCATTCAATGTGTAATTGAAGTAATAAACACCAGAAATTTAAATTGCTGTGCTGAAAATAAAGGAAATTGCTTTTCATTGTTTGTAGTGACAAAAGTACCAGGTTTTTTTTTTAATGGAAATTTCTTTCATACATCCTGAAATGATATCATATCATATTTAGTTAAATTTGGGCTGCTAAATATCTCATGTACTGAACAAGACTTTAATTATGACTACTAGGTATTTATTTGTTTGTGTGTGTGTGTATATATAAATTAGTATAATAAATTGAGGTACACTCACTCAGTATGTAAATAAAAAAAAACACAACACCTTAATTTACTGAGAAATTTAATAAAAACCAAATGTTTTCAGCCAAATCTGTTGGCCATCATCAGTCTAAAATATTCGAATACAAAATAGAACAAAAATTTAAATACAAATAAAATAAAATAATGAATGAAATATACATATACATGTATAAAGAAAAATAAAATAAAATAAAATAAAAATTATTATTATAAATAACAAAATATGTATATAAATACAGTAGAGCATCGATTATCTGACTCAATTGGGGACTCAGGTTGGTCAGATAACTGAAAAAATTGGATAACCGAAAAGAAGGAAAAAAATACATCATTAGTATAGTATATTAGAATATTAGTATATCCCATGTAATTAGTTTATTAGTATATCGCTATTAACCAACTTTGCATTGAATTTTCATCTATGTTTAGCCTAACAAATTTTTTTAAAATAATAATCGTCGCTATTGTGTCGTTAAAAATTATTTTTAAATTATTTTATTGCTCACGAAACAAACAACCACTCATAATTAGAAAATTAAGTCTCATTTAAATATTGGCTTCCCTTCAATGGTCGAGCCGTTGATGACAGCTAAAACACAAATGCAAAACTTTAACAAAAATAATATTAAAGTAGCCAAGAAATAGCCAAATATTGTAATGCCACATCACTAGCGAACATTTGAAACTTGCCGACTAGAATGGTCGGTTAACTGATGTGATTGGTTAATTGGGGGTCGGATAATCAACGCTCTACTGTATATGCATAGGATAATTAAATATTAAAATGTTATATAATAATGCATTATATGAAATTCAATGAAATGCAAGATATGCAAAAATATTAAAATCAAGGCATTAAATTAAGAGCTCTCTAATCGTCTGATTAAGTATTTCCAGGCCGAAGGCAACCCTTCAGAATATCTAGAATTAATGCATGCATCATGCAATCTGCTCTTATATATTTCAATTTTTTCGGCACAAATCGCCAATGTCGGTGAATGTATTTTGTAGATTTGGCTGAAAATGTTTACTTTTTCATTAAATTTTCTCAGCAAATTAAGGTGTTGTGTTTTTTTTATTCATTTTGTTATTTACACTTGTCTTTTTTTATGGACCATCCAAGCTTGAAAAAAAACCAGCCTATGTATTTATTTCATCAAACAATACTAGATTTATTTTTTGAGTTTTAAATCTCACTTATTTTATTGTTAAGTTAGTAAAAGAATTATAATTATTTTACTAAATAAAACATAAAATAAAATAAAATAAAATATATATATTATTTAACAGCATACTATTTTTAAATTTATAATAAATTATTTATTTTGTTTGTTTCAAATTTTGAAATTAAAACATACCACAAATTTTTGAGTATATTCACTTAAATCAATTGCTGCAACTGGTGGAGGTGGTTCAGCAGATGCTTGTGGTTCTGCTGCCATTGGCATCATAACTGGAACTTTCTGAGGTGCTTCAGGGCTAGAATAATAAACAAATATTTTTATAATTTGTCACAATAATTATGATTATAATTATGTGAGCATTTGTCAGCAAAGATCCAGTTGTTCTCAACCCAGGAAACTAATTAAAATTGCTTTAACATTAAAAAAAACATGTTAATTTTTTGTTAAAACAAAAAGTTAACCATTTTTTTAAATGTCAAAGTGTATGCTGTATAAATATAGCTAAATTATTATTGTTGAATATGCTTCTAAAAAAAAGTGCATGATACTTCATATATTTTCCATTTTTACTAAAATTATAACCACTTCATATATTTACATGTCTACTGATACACATCCAATAATATATATAAAAGGCACCCAATTTAAATTGTCTTCTACAGTAGAACCTCGAAAACTCGACCTAATGTGGACCGAAGGGTGGCCGAGTTTGTGAAAATGCCGAGTTATCGGGAATGGGGTTAAAAAAAATAAGTACGAGTATTTCCTCAGAAAATACTGTACTGTACTTGTACAGTATTTACTTGTACAGAATATAACAGAGAATAAACTGCCCAAATACCCTTAAACAAAGGAAAAGTACGTCCTTTATGAAGGCATAGAGCCACTACATGAAAATGAAAATTAATGAATACACTGTGTACAGTAATTTACCTGATAAGACAGACCCCAGAAAAATACTTTATGAGAGCTTTTATACTTTTATAAAGCTGTCTATAATGAAAATTAATTAACTAAGGATTTTTTCGCCCTGCCAAGGTGTGGACCAGTTATCCGGAGTGCTAAGTTATCGAGGGACGAGTTTTCGAGGTTCTACTGTATTAAAAACTTTATATTAACATAGACTAGCCATAAGCACTGTTTTGAATGAGAGAGTAGTGTTTACTTTGCTCATTCTGGTCACCTTGTTATTTTGATAGAATTTCCACTTTTGTCCCTTTTTGAAAATAAAAACACTTAGTTCTGTAGTTTATGTTAAACATATTTGTACATTTGTATGTTGTATTCTGAACTAATAATTTGTTAGAAAATTTTTATTCTGCATTAATGTAGGTCATAAACTTGAATGGGTACTATTGAGGAAGAAATGGCATGAAATATAAACTATTGGAAAACTGCAATATATATATAAGAAATGTATATACAGTCGACCTCCATATAACACGGTAGATACATTTCAGTTCTTATGAATCCATTTTCTACGAGTCCAGCCAATCACAGCCCAGCACGTATGCAGTTTACGGACTACGGCTGTTTGAAAGGTTTCTTCCATAAAATTAATCGATTCTAGACTAATTCGACTCAACATTTCTAAAATACATATAATTTTTTGGGAATAATCCATATAAACTATGCTATAAACAAAAAATTGTAGGATTACTAACAGAGTGTGCACCGTTCGACTACGCCATTGCTTAAGCTTGTTTTCGTCGTGGAGCTTGTCATCGAATGGCACTCGCATGCTTCCTGATAAATTATTTTTTTTGCGAAAAATTTGCTGAACTTTGGAAACATCATTAATATAAATATAATTTTTATGGACATTAAATAATAAATGGTTTTTAGTGGGTCCACTGCTCGTTTAAACTCAACGGTTTGTGCAATATCCGCTATTGGTCTAGATTCAACCAATCCTGTCGTGACACGAGTTGGCGATGACGTTTTACTGAATTATACGAGTTTTTTTTTTTTAGCATGTTTGTACAAATACTGTCACAATTTTTTTGCCGTGATATATGAATCCGAACTATAGGAACCTGTGTTATGGGGAGGTCGACTGTATTGCATTTTTTTCAATATAATTTTAATACATTAATATTAAAACGTGTGAGGCCCTAGAAATAGCCCCCGAAAAAAAGAAAAGATGTGTAAAAATTTGTTAAGTTAAATCTCAGGATAAAAAATTATATAAGTGTTGAGTCAGTGACACTGGACTTTGATGTCAATGCTCATAAAGAGTGAGGGAAAAACAAAAATTTAGATATAGAAAAAGAAAATTTAAGATGCAGTTTAGAAAGCAAAACAATACTTGAAAAATTATCAAAATGAGCGTGGGTGTCATTGTCACCAATTAAACACAATCAGAGTCTAAAGTAAGGTGTCGAATAGACCATCTCTCTCTGACCTTTCTTGCACCCTAAATGAAGCTTCATTTACACCTGGAGACAGGTGGGAGACCAATTGGGAAGTGAGAAGTAAAAGGTTTAACCAATTAGCAATGCTTCAATCCTCAGAAAATTTTAAAACTCTGACTTCAAGGACAAATAGAGGCTTCCACTAGACTACCTGTTGTGTTCATTTACCTCCGTTTTTTCGTACCTCCATTCATCTTTTGTGTGCTGTCTGTTCAGACTTCGAACTTTCAACATGACGCCGCCACGAAGCCTCTTCAGTGTAGGATCAGACCAAAACCGAAAACAACTCCTGAAGACAACCTAAAGTTCAAACTTAAGGACCATTGCTAAATTAATGTAAGCATTTTCGACAAGAATAAACAGTTTCTGTGTGAACACTTGTCTTTTGCTGCCTCCTCAAAACTGTCACCCACATATGCGTAGACCTTATACCATCCCAACGGTAGGGAAAAAAACTCCCCCAATCGACGTCTTTACAAACACTATAAGCAACTTATAGCATTTCAGAATAAAAAATGAAAACAGAATAAATTTACATTATTTGACACATTTATGCAAGCCATTTGAGTTATAAATTTAATTACTGTCCCATCCCTAATAATAATGAAACAATTGAAGAAGCTGAATAAAAGAAAAATCAATTTAGCTGATAGAAAGGTCAAAATATTTAACAAAATGCATGAAAAAGATCTTGAATTCCAAGATTTTAATAAGTTGGTAAAATTAGATCTTTGTTTTTTTGGGAACTACAGCTTCTGTAGAAAAAATATTTCCACTCATGGATTCCCTGTGATCAAAAGGGAAATTAAAATTAAATATTTAAGTTATGAAAGCAAATGCTAGTTATCACATTGTAAATCAGTTTTGCTTTATAAGCTTTAAAATAAAATTGCAAATAACCAGAATTTAAATTTAATGTAACAAAACAAATTCATCTGAAAAATATGCTTGGTTTGACTTTAGGAAACCTTCTATATCAACCTAACTATTAAATTTGATATCATATTGTAATAAAAATATCACTTTTTTGTTATTACATTTTCAAAAATAAAATCTTTGAGAAATTTATATTCATTTTTATGAATATATAAATTTTTCAAAGATAGTACATTATTACTGATATTGATTTGATAAAAATCAATATCAGTAATAATATATTATCAAATTGGTAATAATGCCATCTATATTTATTAATGAAATTTCAATAAGAGAAGGCCTGCATTCATTAGATGTGGAATCCTTATCTAATTTTGGTATCAAGAAATATGTTCAACCTATACATTTCTGTATAGGTACCATAGAATAAGAGTGAATATCTTTAAGAATGCATCTTTTGAAAACAAAAACTTTCACATATGAAGATTTAATTAAGCAAACTGTGTGTAGTTTATTTATTTTTTTTCCATAAGCAAAAAAGTCCTGAAGGACAATTGATATTTGCCCCCAAATTAACAATTAAACAAACAAATGTAAATATAACAAATAAGAAAAAAATTTATTATTACGGAATAAAATTTTACTTACGGTTGTGGAACATCAGATACTGGGACTATTTCTTTACCAATATGGTTTACCTATAAATATAAATATTAATAAGTTAAAATTTTATAAAATATATATTGGGTTGTTCAGAAAGTAACTTCGTTTTTTTATCACCAGAGGAATTAGTTGCATTTTTACCTGCCAATTTCATATTAAACCACATTGTCATTATATATTTTGACAGCTGACATTTCAAGGCTTATTTATAAAAAATTTTGTTTGATTCTGTGCAATTGTTTCTTTTTTTTTTTTTTTTGAAAAATCCCTGAAATTTATCATCATTATTTTTGAAAATTCCCGAAATTTCCTTTTGTTCCCAAAAATTAAAACAAAATTGAAAAGGCATAACAGGGATATTCAGAGAGAATCACATGGTATTGAACCTACACATGCCAATGATTTTCAGGGAGCATTTGTCATGAAGAAACATGGATGGTTGTGTGATGAATAGAAGTTAAAGTTTTCAAGATTTTACATCATTAGTCTGGAATATTTTGGATAACACCTCATAATAATTAAACAAGATATATATGAATATAGATATTTTCTGTACCATTATGATGTGTTTATTTGAAACAGTTAAAAAATCTTTCATAGTAAACTTACATTAGCAAAAAGCTTACAATGCTAACCAATCAAAGTAATTTATTTACTTATAAAAAAAAAATAAGATTTCTTCAATTATTTACATAATTTCTTTAATAGGAAAAGACTATTTAAATGAATTAAAATATATTGGTACAATATTTTTACACTGAAATTTTGTACTTTTATATTTTTGAAAAACTATAACAATGAATAAATGAATATATGTTAAAAATATGATTTTTTTAACTATTTCATCTTGGCATATTGCATACATAAACTGAAGGAGGTCAGTTTGTTAACCTTTTTTTTACAAGTGTACCAATCAGTCGGTACCCCCATTGTTAAGCAAAACCATGAGAGTACCGATTTGTAGACACCCTAGTAAAAATCAATTTTTGTAAAATTTATTGACAAGAGATGTCAGCACTTGACGGCAGCATCTTGTCTATTGTCTGTTTCAGTGGTTTCCAATTAGTTTTTCCTGCATACCACTTCAAGAAAGAGCTCAAACTCATTTACCCCTTATAGCAGAAATTCATATTAATCCATACTAATATTATAAATTCGAAGGTAATTCTGTGTGTCTGTCTGTTACCTTTTCATGTCTAAACCGCTGAACAGGTTTTAATAAAATTTGGCATAGATATAGCTTACATGTTGGAGATGGACATGGGCTACATTTTACTGTGAGAAAATATCTTATTCCCATGAGAAAATTCAATATATTGCAGGCGAAGCTGTGGGTAGACAGATAGTTAGAAGAGTTTAATAGAATAAGTTTTTTTACATTTATTACCTTTAAAATACAATTCTAATAATAATGAAAATAACATAAGGTTATTTAATTTTAATGCGACAAATGTGCATGATTTTCTTTGCACAACTTTGTAAAATCTGGTTGCTTTTTGGTCAGCTTCAGTCTCAAGTCATCTTTGAGTTGAAGTCGGTGACGATGTTAAGTTTTCATGTTATGGCGGGAAATCCGCTCTTGAAGAGGTATGTTGTGCAAAATGGTAGTAAATATTTTATTG